TGGTTTGGAGCAACTTCGTTTTCACCACCTTTGTGTATATATGCATTGTGTTGATGGGAGGAGATAGGGGATGTACTCCACGGTTTAGGGGAAGATAGGGGATAGACTCCACTGATACAGCTCATATGCTTGTCATTGGAAGTGTTGATATAGCTAATATGCATATTTGTTGAAATGTGGTAATTGGATAAGGGGTTGGTGATAATGAACTCACCGGGTTGTTTGTATGTACAAGGAAGGATTGAAAGTTTTGATTTGTAATTAATTGAAAAATTGAATTAAAGGGGGTTATTATTCTTGTGCTATGTTGAATTATAATTGATAATGCAAATGTGGACGTGATGTAGTTGTTAGACAAGTAGGAGTTGAGTGTAGGAGAATTGTTATTGAATAAAAAGGAGATTCAGACTTCTACGTTATGGAGTTGTTGCAATAATGGATAGACAAGGAAGGATAAAGTGTATGAGGGTTATTTTTGGATTATTAAGGGAACTTAAACTTCGAGGTTATGGAGTTATAATAATTGTGAATAATAAAAAGGTAAATAGAGATGAAATGAGGAATACTTTGGAATTGAGTTAATGAATTTAAAATGATGTTTCGTAAACATATTTATTTTCAAAAAGGGTTTATGGTTTTCTGACAATGAGGGATAATTTTTATGACTGAGAGTTTTCTTTAAATGTTCAAATACATTTTGAGACCAAGGTACTCCACATATAATATTTTGAAATTACAAAATGTCATCCTACTATATGGTATCACCATGCATGCATGATCATTTCTATCTGTGTGTTAGTTATTGTTGTAGAACTATGAGATTCCTACTAGGCAATTATGCTCATCCCTTGTTGTTTCATTTTTTTAACAGGAAGAGAATTTAGATTTATTAGTTGGAGAGTTAAGAAGTCCATGTGTCATTTATATGTAATTTCATTGTAGATGTGAAAGAAATAAATATTGTACATAGGTGTTTGTAATTATTTATTTGTAGCTCCGCTGTGGAAGCTTGACATTTATTATTGTTATTATTGTATTCATTGAGTGAGAGAGAACATGTATTAATTTGTTTCTATTACTCAAGGGTAATGGATATTTAAAAAAAAAAAAAGGACCTAAATGACAGGCTTTGGTAATGTTTCCGAGTAATTAAAATTTGGGGCGTGACATTCTTCCTTTCTTTTTGAACTTAAACTCAATTCTTCATCCCTTTCTAACTCCTAGATTTCCAGCACACTTGCATTTCCTTGTCTTTGACTTCAACTCTCACTCCCTCTCTCTCGGTTTCTTTTCTTCCAGTAAGGGAATTGAAGGCATTCCCTCAACAAAATACATATATACAAACCTTTATCTCTTGACCCACACAGATTTCTATGCACACATACATACTTCTCAGCACACACACCCACATATATCCTCAAACTCTAAATCATTCTACAGTTTAATTTATGGTTAAGATTAATTTAATTAAATAACACTTATTCTCAATAAATCTTGATTAACACATAATTAAATTAATCACGACTAATCACAATCTCACATAATTAATTAATCTAATTTAACTTCCATTAGAGCCCAATTAATTATATTTAAATTTATCAGTCTAAATCAGATTTTTAATCAAGCTCCCCAAAGACTCCAAATATCAAATTAAACTTATTTCCATCATCAATTTTGGTTTCGCAAATCACCAATATAGCGATCCCGGTTGTCCCTTTACTGTTCTATTGTATTCCGGATTCGGTTCCGTGATGATGGTAGTTGTATCTATCTTGTTCTCGTCCTTTAATTCCGCTTGATTGAGTTTTAGGATGTTTTGGGCAGGGTTGTTATAGGTTGGTTAGGCCTTGGTTTCAGTTCCTTGTTACCCAGTTTTTAGGAGGTCCGCTCGAACGGGTCTTCTTGCGCTCGAGCGGGGATTGCACACCCCAGTATTCCGTGTTCCTGCAAAACTTCTGCAGGTGTGATTTTTATGCTCGAGCGGGTTTCTTTGTGCTCGAGCGGTGGCGCTCGAGCGGGTACTTTGGCACTCGAGCGGGTAGTACCTTTGGGTGTAAGTTCTGGGAGGGGGAAATCTACGCTCGAGCGGACTGGTTTTCGTGCTCGAGCGGGTTTACTTTATTCTTGTGTCTTGGCGCTTGAGCGGGTCCTTTTGCGCTCGAGCGGGCCTAGTTTTTGTTCTCGACGCTCGAGCGTTGTGTTTTCCGCTCGAACGGGAATGTCGTATATCAGTTGGCTGTGAGGCAGTTTTAAATCACTTTTTCTCATCCTTTCTCTCTCTTACTTTTTCGAAAAAGCCATTTGAGACCCTCTCTCTCTAAAACCTTGCCTTCTCTCTAGGTATTGATCTAGCTAGGGTGTTTTCCTCACCTTTGGCCTTTACAAAAAAGTTGTTGATCGTCGAGGGCTATCTTTTGATCCGAGGAACTCGTGGTTTGGAGCAACTTCGTTTTCACCATCTTCTTCTTTGGGTCACATCTTTGAGGTAGGGGTTCCTACTCACTCTTATGGTCTTTGACCTAGATTTTTAGTTGTTTTGATAAAGTGTTTAATTTGAAAAATTTTGGAACTTAGGGTTTCAAAATGTGTTAAAGAGGATTTTGTGATTTTGGGCTCACAATATGTATTTTGGGTTTCAAATGGTGTTATTGATGTTGGTTGTTGATATTTAGACCATTGGGTCAATATTGAGAAATGGGGTAGAAAACCCTAATTTGGTTGAATAAATTAATTGGTATAATTAATTTGGGGAAATTTGTGGACTTACGGAATTGAGTTGGAAATAATGAAATTGGCTCATTATGTTGTGAAATGATGGAGTTGGATTTATAAATCGCTCACTTTTGAAAACATTGATATTTTTATCTGTTGAAGCTTTTATTATCTGTTTAGAAATAATTGCTTGGGCTACGGGTGGAGGGTAGTTTTGATTGTTGTAGACAATGCATGATGATTAGGCAAACTAAAACTAATCAATTGGTTATGTCATAGAGTATGACGGTTGATAGAATACATTAACGTTATGTATTGATTAATTGTGTATATGACCTTTGTGTGTATACATTGCGTGTGTGGGAGGAGATAGGGGATGTACTCCACGGTTTAGGGGAAGATAGGGGATGGACCTCTAAACCGGATGTCGTTTGGGAGGAGATAGGGGATGGACTCCACTGATACAGCTCATATGCTTGTCAGATAGTGTGTTGATACAGCTTATATGCTTGTCATTGGAAGTGTTAATACAGCTCATATGCTTGTCATTGGAAGTGTTGATATAGCTAATATGCATATCTGTTGAAATGTGGATACAGCTTTTATGCTTATCTGTTGAAATGTTGATACAACTAATATGTTCATCTATGTTTAGCATATCTCTACTGGGCGTTGGCTCACCCTTTATGGGACATTATTTTCAGGTACAGGTAGTATGCCACCTCCAAGGACATAGCTTGGATGTTGATGAGAGTTGAAGACTCTTCTTTTATTTATTTTGATGTATTACATGTAAATTCAAGCCAAGGGCTTAATATGTATTGAGTTAGTACTCTTCTTTTTGTAACCAAGTGTTAACTTGGAAAGCTGTAAAACCTTAGGGCATTTGCTTTTGTTGTTAACATGTAATACAGTTGTAGAATTACTCTGATAAATAGAAATGGTTAGCTTATTTTATATCAATGCATGTCTAATGAGATGGGTTTTATCTATTATTTTGAGGGCGTTACAAAAAATTACTCAATTGTTTTATGAGGCATTTTTTTAATAATTGGTAAGAGAGAAATAAGGGAAGGGGAAGCTGCATTTGCAGCGGTGAGACTCGAATTTCTCCCCTGGTGTGCATAGGGGAGGAGGCTTTTAGTTACACACATAGAAAGATCAAAGTAGCTATCAGATAGAAAATACTGGTTTTAAGTTGTTAACATACCAATATTGTTATGATAATGACTACATTTACCTTCACTACATTGGTAACATTTGCGAGTGGTGAAGCCTATTAAACCAATGAAATGGTAACACATAAGATGATGTTTGGATATTTTTTACCATAAATTAGAAGCACAAACAGACTGGGAATAATGTAAGTTTAGACCTGCTGAAGTAACTATTTTGTGGAGACTTGCATAAGACTCAAGTAAAAAGTTATTGGAAATTTTTTGGATTGAAATTATAAATTATGTTTTGAACAATTAGTTTTTGGAACTAAAGAGTAAGTGCATTTATCCTTGTTACATATTGGTTGTGGGGGGATTAATGCATGGGATTGGGTTATATATCTTGCTTGATCTTGAATTTCACATTTATATATCAAAGTGGACCTCTAGATTGACAATCCCTTTTGGACTGTATATCCTCCACATAGGCAACTATTGAGTCTTATAGGAGAGGATGAGATACAGAATTGAAGGATTAAGGGGATCCAAATTAGGGGGTTGAAAGACTAAAATATTCTCAAACTATAGTTTTTTTGAGCAACAAAAAACAATTTTATTGAAACAAAGATGATAACAAAGGGAGGACAAGAAGTCCTCCAACAAAGTCAGAAAATACAAAGCTGAAGACCAAAGAAACAAAACTACAACACATCACAACCGGCACCAAGCATGACAAACAGCAGCCCAATCCCTAGAGACCATTTCTAACAAACATGAGATAAACATGGAATTCCAAGACTTACTAGTTTCGGTAATCTTGTCCAACGAAACACACATAGTAAATTTTCACAAACTAGTCTTGAATGCTAACCCAAAACCACCCAACTTTTCTTCAATGACCTTGTTCAAGCGTTCCACCATGTCAGGTGTAAAATGATTGATCTAATCACCCACTTCACCTCTCCTGAAGAACGTCTTATTATCAAAGTGTCTATCGGATTTACCAGTTTTGTTCACCTCTAACTCTCTCATATTGTTAAAGTTGCACAACCTTGATATGTCTTCTATCACACCTTCACTCTCTTCCTCTAAAGAGAATGGAATGCTCATATACTCCGCTAGCCTCTTCATCTAAAAAATAATATCTTCTTTCAAGTCCTCGTACATCAGAAACAGCACCTTTTGAGGCCTCTTCAGGCTCTCCTTCCAGTACCCTAATACATTATCCCAAAAGGGCCCAAAACCGATGACACCCCTACAATACATGTCAAAAGCATCATTACACGATAGAGGTTCAATTCTCTCTGGTCTAGGCTTAGAGAGGAAGTGCCAGGCAGAGACAATGGAGTCGTAGGGATTGCGACAGAGATAAACAATGCGAAAATTAGAGGTCTTGATTGAGTCAAGTAATGAATGGTATGGCATATGGGTGGAGAAAATGCTAGATTGAAAGTTGGAGAGGTTTGGAATACAATCGCCTTGATGGCTGTGTTTATTAGCGGAGAGATTGATCTCGTGAATGGGGATGAGCTCGTGAGGGTTGGAAGTGAGAAGGGGGTGTTGGGAAAGCGTGTTGGTGTAGCGATGACAGTTGGCGATAGCGAATGTCAAGGGCTTCAACCAAGTGGTGCCTAATTTGGGCTTGGTGGCGAGTATGAGGTCGGTGTCCTGAGCTTTGAAGTGTTCTTGGAAAGACATTACGCCTTGAATATGCATTGAGGAGCACCAAAAGCCTTGGTAGAGATAGAGATCCAGACCTGTCCATCCCTTCTCTTTGGGAGGCAATGCTAGTGGATTGTCATTGCAATCTTCTTCTTCTTTGTCTCTGATGATTGGATTGCTTTCCCTTCCTTGAGTGTTTTCCATGGTAGGTGGGAAGGGTATGTTGCTATTGTAGGTATTCCACAAATTCAGTATTCTTGATCTTGATAATGGTTTTGAAAGTCTACATAACCCAATGTTATCCATACACTATTATAGTGTTTGTGGCTTTCTTTTTTCCTTTCCCTTTTTGCTCGACTTTTGTTTTGTGTTTGTCCCTTTTTTTTGGACAATTTTATAAGAGTAATGCTACAAATCATGAAAAAAATATTATGAAAATGATCATGAAAGATTCTTCCCTTTGGATTACACCTAGAAAAAAACATCGTACATTAATCAAGGGATGAAAAATTTTCATGATACATATCATGATATTTTATTTATGACTCCTAGTATTATTCATTTTATAATTTTAATATTTTGTTTATAATTTTTGTTTCTTTTTGATAACACTTATAAATCAATTATTTAATAAAAAAATTCATTAATTGTGTTTGATTGCAATTTTAGTATAATTTATCGCATTTTTTCAACTAATTTGATAAATAAAAAAAATGAGAAATATTTTTAAGTTGTAAAAAATAATTTTTGAAACTTATCTAAGGTTCTTAATACATATGGACAAAATAACTCCATTTATTTTGTCTTGATTATAATTTTTGAGTGGTTGTTAGATATTTGCACATAATGTGTAACCAAACAAATTTAACCTCTCTTTCTTTTTCTTTTTCTATCTTTTTCTTCTTTTTTTTTTTTAATAAAAACAACAGAATATAAAAAGCTATATCAAATAAATTTACAACTTAGATTAATTCTGCCAAACTAATAGTCTAAAATGTTATAATCATAAGTTTTTTTATTTTATTTTATGTCGGCAATCATAAATACTCAATTATAGGTGATATCATATTGAATCATTATCTATCAATACTTTATTCATAATAAATATGAGTAGGAACCCATTAAATCACTAAAATTGTGACACATGAAATAATAATAAAGTATTGTACATAAATTTGTCATATTAACATTATTGTTATTCAATGATGACAAATGATATTCAAATATTTTTTTGAGCTGGTTTTACAAATATTTTTGGTAAAGTTTTAAATTTTTACCTTTTATGATAAGATTATTATTGCTATAAAAAAAACTATGTATCTGACAAATGATAAGTTTTTCAAAAATGCTTTGGAGCTTTAAAAAGAGAGCTCTAGATAGACCTCTAATGGGTGGGATCCACCTATAATGTGATATTTATGTTTGTTTTTTTGTTTGTTTGTTTGCTTGCTTTTTTTTTTTTTTTTACCCTACCAACTGTGTAGAGCTGAGTTTAAAGCTTAACAATTAGAGCTCTGTATCACGGTGGTAAATTTTTTATTTTTTGGTAAACTTTGAGTGAGTGTTGGATAGGACAATAACAAATGTTACTTAAGCAAATAAGAATTTTATGATAGTGTTTAGATAATAAAAATGTCAAATATTGTTACTTAGCCTCTCACCTAAAAATAACATATTTGTTGAAGATACTCTTATGCCACTTTAAATTATTTTCTTTTTTTATTCAATTAATAGTAAAAAATAATTAAATATTTTTATTGCATCCTAATCAAACATAATGCAATAATATCCAATTCTTATTTAAGAGTAACGATATACCAATAGAATTAGGAAAAGTACCCAAAAAAAAAAAAAAAAGAACTAGAGTTTTGAACCCTGTAACAAACTAAATTCCAAATTTTTAATTTTGTCAATTTAAATTTTAAACTTTTGATTTGCTTTCAATTCAAACCATTTGCCAATTTTTGTTAAATAAAATAAATAAATAATATATATTTTAGTCATTAAATTCAACAAAAATTATATTTTAGATATTTTCGATACACTTACATTGAATTTAATGACTGTATAAATTTTTTCATCTATTTTATTTAACAAAAATAGGCAAATGATTTAGATTTGTTAGGTTTTCATTCTTGGCAATCCCGTTTGACAAAACTCTTTTGAGTTGTAATTTTGTTCGCACTTTTATTTTAGTATGGCTATGAGTTTTTAGATGTGAATCCAACCCGAATTGTGATGCAAAGAAGTTTGTGATGTTAATACTTTCAAGATTGCCACTTCGCAGATTATGACGGGGATCGAGCTACCCGGTCAGCTCGCGGGGTCGAGTGGTAGCGCCCCCGAAGTAAAATGCAAAAATGTATTCAAAGTTACCTGTCCGCTCGAGCATCCATTTCCCCGCTCGAGCGGAGAATGCTGAGTTTCAGAAGTTTAGTGAGTCTGCAAATATACTGTGATCCGTGTTTTCACGCTCGAGCGTCAATTTCCCCGCTCGAGCATACACCCTAGTGCGGAACACGTCATATAGTGTCCCCGCTCGAGCGTCCGTTCCCACGCTCGAGCGGACCTCACGATTTCAGATTCTATAAATTCGCAAGTTGTTCCAAATCTAGGATAACGCCTCCAGATCTTCTTCTTGGGTTCTAGGGTTTATATCTGGGGCTATTTTGCTACTTTTCTTTGATGATTCATTGAGTATTCAACTCATGGTTTTAAGAGTATACATTAAAGGATTATTTGTTTGTTCTACACAAAAGAGAAAGTTGTTCTTCGGTGGATTCTGAAGAATTCGAGCCTGAAGTTTTGGTGGATTCTGGAGTGGCTCATCGTCAAGACAATTCCGAGGTGAAGACGGGGTTCGAAGAGGCACATAGGGGTTGGTTCCATTCGGGCGTGGATTTGCTAGGTAATTGAGAGTATAGCTGTGTAATTCGTTTATATCTTCTTAGTGGATTGTTTTGCGGCTGTTACCCGTGGTTTTTTTTTTTTATCACAAATGGAGGTGCTCCAATTGTGGTTTTTCCACGTTAAAATCATTATGTTGATTTGTCTTGATTGTTTGATTGAGATTGTTTTATTGCGTAAAATTGATACATAATCATAAATCAATATCTAGCAGATTTCTAGATTTTTCAATTGGTATCAGAGCGGGTTGCTCTATTTTTTTTGTTTTACAAATCTATTAGAGTGAGATCTTGTTTGATTTGTGATAATGGATTAATTCATGAGGGAAATTCTATGGTTCGACCACCCCTACTTGACGGATCCAATTATTTATTTTGGAAAGCTCGGATGAGATCGTTTTTAAAATCTATTGATGAAAAAGTTTGACAATCTGTCATGTATGGGTGGACTGAACTGACGATTACCGCTGATGGAGTAACTTTCCCCAAACCAATCGATAAGTGGGACACAATTGATTACCAAAATAGTAGCTGGAATAGTAAAGCTATCAATTCTCTCTTTTGCGCTGTCACACCTGAAGAGTTTAGTCGGATTTGCAATCGTGAAGTCGCAAAAGAGGCTTAGGATATTTTACAAACTATTCATGAAGGCACTCCTTCGGTTAAACACTCAAAACTTCAAAGGCTCACGTCTAGTTTCGAAAATCTTTCAATGAAAGATAGTGAGACCTTTGATGAATTTTATGCGAAATTACGTGACATTGTAAATTCCAGCTTAAATTTGGGTGAAAAAATACCGGAATCCAAGATTGTAGGAAAAATTTTGAGGTCCTTGCTTGATCAGTTCCAACCAAAAGTTACGGCTATTGAGGAGGCTCAAGATGTTGACAACCTCAAGCTAGACCATTTGGTTGGAAATCTCCAAACTTATGAGGCACATAGGAATTTCAAAAAGAAACAAAAATATACTATTGCTTATAGTAGTGCTCATAGAGTCGAAGAGGATTCTGATGAGGATTGTGAGATAGATTACAAGATTACGGATACTTTTATAAAACAATTTAAAAAATCTTTTCTGAAAAAGAATCCTAAACTTTTGGAATCTACTCATACTCATAAATCTAAAGGCAAAGATAAACTCAAAATTAATCCTATAGCCAAGAAGGAGAAAGGAAAAATACAAGGGAACTCTGAAAGAGTCGAATGCTATGAATGCCAAGGATTTGGCCACTTTGTTTTAGAATGCCCCACTCGTTTGAGGAAGAAGAAAGCCCTCGTTATCACTTGGGATGATGAATCAAAATCTGATGAAGATGAAAGTGACAACAAAGATCAAGGCGAAGAGGGACATAAACAATTCCTTGCCTTCATGGCAGCCTCTGAAATTGATGGACAAATAGAGTATCCGAAGAGCTCGATTGAGAAAGCCACTAATGATGAATCCTCGGAGAGTGAAGATGAAGAACTTCAGCAAGCATATCAAAAGTTGTATAAGGAATCTCTTAACTTATCCAAATTGAATGAGAAACTCACTATGAAACTCAAAACATGTGAAAGTGAGAATGTCAAATTAAAGAAAGAGATTTTCGAGGCTAGGAATGATGCCCTTAAGATTTCTAATGATCGACAAGCTCTTTGTGCAAAACTCTTGACGTGTGAGACAGAGATGAATGAGCTACAGCAAATCTATGCAACATATGAAGAAAACATTGAAACTCAAGTGTGCTATGGCAACCATTGGTGTTCGGAACAAAGGATCAAAGACTTTGGAAAATATCATTGGTTCTCAACAAATTTGTTCTGACAAGAGTGGCATTGGCTTTGGCTTTGGCTTTGGCTTTGGCTTTGGTGGTAAGATCGAGTAAAAACAAAGTGCATCCACGCCTCATGATACAAGAACTCAAGGAAAAGGAGAACAAAAAATTCAACATGAGGATGGACTTTTCAAACTTCCTAGAGTTGGTAAGATCAAAGAAAAGAAGGTACATCCTGTTGTTATTTGTTATCATTGTGGTTTGCATGGTCATATTCGCCCTTATTGTTATGCGTTACATGGAAGAGTGTCTCATAGAGATGGAAGAAATTCCAACATCTCGTGGGGTAAGAGACATTTCATTGGTGGTAATAAGGCTAAGGGTTAGTTTAGTCCTCGTTATTTTGATTTGCTTGAGACCAAACATGAACAGAGGCTATGTTTTCCTAGTCCTAGGAATAGGAAGTTGGAAACCATGTCAAGACGGGTTCTCATTGAAAGGGAAGGGAACCACAGCGTCAAGATACCACCCAAGAACCGTAATTCTCACAACTTTGTTCATACTAAAGCGGTTTGGGTGAGAAAACTTGACTTGTGTTAATTTGTTTATTCATTTTAGTTTTTGGGTTTCTGTTTTTTTTTTTTTT